CTTGCTTGGGTACATGTAGTATAAGGCCTGAAATATCATAGTGAGGAATTACAAATTCATACAGAAGACAAGAAGGATACTGCTAAAAAAAATCTTGCATATGACCTAGTATGTGCCTGCTGCACAGATGGAGTGTTTCTTGACTTTGCTGAGGAAAGGCAATCTTAGAAAGCTTCTAGAACCTTCCATTCAGTTACTGCATTCTCCTGAGAGCTTCCTGTAGGTCCCCACACTAGACTTGTCTCCTTCCTTTCTACATCTCCAATTTCTGACCGTCATCTAGTTTCATATCTGCATTAACTGCAGATCTTGGAAAAAGAAGTGAAGTCAGATTTCTTTCTGTGTTTCCAGAGTATACAACACACTCTATGCACAGTAGGGTATCAAGGCATGCTTGTTGATATAACCTAAAGCTGGGTTACAAATCACAGCTGGCTTTGCCCTCTTCCCTCAAGCCCAGCTGAGATCTTTAATTCCATTAAATTAATTCCACAGAGGTTAGGGGAGGGAGGGCTCAGAGATCCTTGGCTTTGGCTTAAGCTGGCTTCTCCGCCCGCCCACTGGCTGTTAGGACAGAGGCAACTTGGCAGTGCCCGGACGACAGCCGTTCAGAGTATGCAGGCAGAGGTGTGCAGTGGGTCGGGTGAGAGCACTGGCCCAAGACCAAGGTCAGCTCCTACCAGGTGGGCATTAACTCAAGGAGACATCCTTGTGCACTGACTACTGCGGCCCCTGGCTCTGTTCCTGAAAATTCTGTCTCCGAGGGATTCTCAGGCCATCTGGTCGCTGACCAGAGACCCTAAGGAAGGGGGAGGGCTAACTGCCCGTTGCAACAGGCCCATCTTACCTGAGCCATTCGGGTAAGGAGACTGGGTAGCTCGTCTGTGGGCAAAGGGAAGGGAATATCAAGACGGGAGGAAAGCAAATGGGATTTACAGCATATTTACTCTGTTAGGTGCTTTCCTGAGGGTTTCCCTTGGATTATTGCCATTAATCCTCTCAGTCATCCTATGATGTACTTACAAATGCAGTTCTGTTTTACAGATCGAGTGACTGAAGGTCAGTGCAAGTAAGTAAAAATGCTTGATTTCATACAAGCAGACAGTCCTGGCTTTGGAGCTGGAGTCCAGGTCCATGTGATCCTAAAGCCTGAATTCTTCCTACCACACCAAGATGTGTCTCAGGGATGATTAAAAAGGAATGGCCAGGTCGGGAGTGGAAAATCTGGGCACAAGTTCCCAACTAGCTGAGTGGCTTTGGTCCAAGTGTGTGCTGGTGCCGCCCCTTCTTTCAAGATTGCCTATCCCTCTGTCCATGGTCTAACTCTTAGAATTCCACTAATCCTTCAAGCCTCTGTTAAAATGTCAGTTCTTACATGAGGTTTTCAGTCCTTCCTTCTAAAAGTAAATAGTCCTTCATCAATCCTCACCCCAACTTTTTGTTTGCATGACTGCCTCCCCTGTTGCAAGGGACTAGATGAATATGCCAGCACTGAACACCAGCCTGGAGATCAGGCCAAGCACAGCTTCATTGTAGATTCAAATATGTGCAACTTCTTTCACAGAGAGGTGGCAAAGTCTAGAGGAATAATCACTGTCTTCAGAATCAGAGGTTCCAGGTCTGACTGACGTATTTGCGACTGTCTGTGTGACCTTGATCAAGCTCCTTCACCTTGCTAAGCTTTAGTTCCTCTTCTGCAAAATGCAGAGCATAATACTTCACTCTCGGATGGTCACGGCATGGCTTAATGAGATGATGTACAGAAACGTGGCCCATGGCAACCCAGTTTGTATTAAGTAATCCCCAGCTTGCATAGAAGGAGTCTAAAGCTCCATGAGGACGTGTAACTTGTCCAAAGTCTCACAGCTATTAAGTGGAGGACCTAATATTCAAAGCCAGGTCAATCTGACTCTTATTTTACAGTGGAGATAGTACATAACTTGAGATGAAGATAATTATATCCATCTTTTTTCCAGAAAGTGTTATCGAGGGTCAGACAGATGAAGCAACTTGTCCAAGTGTAGCCAACAGGAAGGAATCGACAGCAAACCCCTCTAGGCAGGCCATGTCCTGTTCATTTCTCTGTCCCCGCTGGGCCTAGCACAGTGTGTGTTTCATTGCTGATGCTTGATAAATATTTATGGGATGAAACAAAATCTCTAACTAGTCACTGTTCACTATGCTTCTGGGCTGAAGAGTTCCAAAGTGACCTTTGAAATGAAATGGATCAGTTGTTATGTGAGATAAGCAAAAAAATCCTCTTGGCAACTAAGGTGCCTGGCTGTGAGGTTTAACTCGTGGGAGACTTCATGGCAGAGGTTAGTTTGGGGCAGGAGCAGGGGAAGTCCGTGTATCAGCCTCATAGCTTCATGTAATCTCTGGGGCTAGATGTGTAACTGTGGGAACTGAGACACAGAGTAGGTAGGTAACCCGTTGAATACGGCTCCAGAATGCAGATCTTCGTCTGTAAACCTAAGCTGAGGACCAGCTCCACAATCTGCTGGGAGCCCTTGAGCCATGCTGCTTTCTAAGCCTCTGACTCTCCATCAGTGTGACGGAGCTAAGAAAGCTCACTTCACAGGCTCACTGGGGTGATGAAACAGCATCCTATCCACAGAGCCTTCGCCCGGGATCCCAAGCTGATATAGATGCAGCCACTTCACTTCAGAATTCTGGGAAACCCAAATCCATTCTAACTATGTAATCGTGACATCAACCATGACCCTTGCGTCAGTGTGGGTATTTTCAGTTTCCTCCTGTAAGAGACCAAGGATGTCAAAATGACTGCCTTCAAATGGCCCATCCAATCCTAACATTCCCCCACTAGGCTGGAAGAATAATTTTCTTTTCCTCTTTGGCCATGGTGTTCCAAAAAAATAAAATGAAGGGTTGACCCCAAGTCCCAAGAGAAAAAGAAGAAAATAATGACTTATGGAGTCAACCACACCCGGGAACTTGAGTCTGTCTTCTACCATTACTGCTGGGAGGCCCTGGAGCACAGTCTGACTGTTTGATAATTATTTTCTACATCTGTAAAACGGGAGCATTGAGGCTTACTTCCCAGTGGTGTGATGGGGATAAAATATGAGCAAAAATCACCTGACATAGCACTTTGCATTTGGTAAATGCTGATGAATGAGAACTGCTCTCCTTGCCAGTTTTCATTCTGGCACTCAGGACCCCAGAATTTATATATGGGCCAACTGGGGCCCAGAGAGAGTGAGCAACTTGCTCAGAGGCCTCTTAGGGAGGAAGTGGCATGTGCAGGATTCGAAGACATGTCTGCTTTATTCCAAACAAGGTCCTTGTAGGAGGCCGAAGACAGGATCAGAGTAAACGTAACCTGTGCTGCATACCTGGGACAGATGTAGCTGCCACGCAGCACCAGGAAAGGCACTGTGCAGGCAAGGGGGCTGAAGACAGCTCTCAGGCACGTGTCAGAAACCCAGCCTTGTGCAAGGCACTGGTAAGTAGTAAAATCAGACAGAACTGATATAAAAGATCTTAGTGATCTCACTTCATACTTGTAGCCTCTGGGAATCTCAGTTCTTCATCTTTAACCATAGGAAAATGCCATCTATTTTGCAGGGTATTCAGAAGTTAATGACATTTTTGTGTTAAAAGGGCCCAGCCTGGACATAGATACATGCCATTAACGTTACCTCTTTTCAGTGAGAGTTTTCTTGGGGGAATGGGTATAACCTTCTCTAGGAGAAATCAGGAAAAAGGTTTCCCATCGGTTTTTCTAGAAAATTGCCATAGTTGAGTCTCTTCTCTAATAAATGGTGGTAAATTTCACCACTAAATGTGATCATATCAGTAGAGGAATCTCAGAATAGGATGAGTAGAGATATCTCTACTCCGAGGTACCCAGAAGAACCACTGAAGTTCGTTGAAGAGTTTTTTAAGTGCCACCTAAAAAAGAGATTGATCCAATTTTATCAAAAGTAATTTCATTTGTATAGAACTTCCCCTTGATTTTCTTATACAATCTCCATGACATCTCAGGGGAGCCATTATCATTCTCTGCATTTCTCAAGGAAAAGCTAAGGCTTGCCTAAACTGGGGTGCTAACAGTTGTGACCAGCAAACAAGGAAAGGTGAGCGTTCTCCCAACCACGTCACACTGACTTCCAAACTAACAGCCAGCAGAGACCAAAGTGAGGGTCACCTCGCAATAGTCCTAAAGCTCCCAGACAACACCCCCTACTGTTTGCCCCTGCAGCTACTGAGACGTGTGATGTTTGGTGACCCGACTCTGAGCCGCCTGCCCTGAATAAACATGCATTGAGTGTGTACAACATAGTAGGCAGTGTGCTGGGGAGAGGGCCACGGGTAAGGCAGACCTGCCCCTTCCCACAGGAGGCTGACGATCCAGTCGGACAGACACTGAGTAACCGAGCAAAAATGAAGTAGTTAAAATAATAGCAATCACTCTGAAAGAAAGAAAGGGATAGAGAACAGTGACACGAGGTGTGAGAGAAGACTTCCAAAGAGGGCCTGTCTGAAGATAAGACATTGAAAAATTAATGCCAAGAATGCCAAGGGTTCCCAGAAATGGGCAAAGCAAGAATAGAGAGAAGGGTGCCTCTGGCAGAAGGGACTTCCTGTGGGAGTTCTTTAAAGCTTGAAGGAACTTGGAGCTTTTGAGGGAGTGACCGGGCACCCATGGGGCTTCAGGAGAAGGAGGAGCCATGACATGAGTTGGACCGAAGTAGTTGGGCAGGATCAGAAAACTGGAGGCCTGTAGCCATGATAAGGGGCACGATGCTGGCTCTGGGAATAACGGGGACTGTCCAGCTATAGGCGGAGGGTGACCCTATGTGAGCTATGAGTTTGGAAGATCCCATGAGCTGCTCCCTGGAGAAAGCCTGTGGAGAGCAGAGAAACCAGCTAGGAGGTCATCCCCACTTGCTCAAGTAAGATAATGGCTTGGGTCTAGGGTTAGGGAAGATGTAGATAGATTTGCAAAATACATTGTAGATACATTTTGTTCTTAGATGGAGAGGTCCCTGGGGGAGCCCAACGTGACCGCGGTCCCCGGGTTTGTCCTGCTGGGCTTGTCCACAAGCCTCCGTCTGAGGGGCGTCCTGTTTGCCGTCTTCCTGACGCTCTACCTGCTGACCCTCCTGGAGAACATGCTCATCGTCTACCTCACCTGCAGCCACACGGAGCTGCACAAGCCCATGTACTTCTTCCTGGGCAACCTGAGCTGCCTGGAGATGTGCTACGTGTCGGTGACCATGCCCAGCCTGCTCGTGGGGCTGAGGACCGGGCCCTGCCGTGTGCCCTTCACCGCCTGCATGACCCAGCTCTTCTTTTTCATCTCCCTCATCTGCACAGAGTGCACGCTCCTGGCCTCCATGGCCTACGACCGCTATGTGGCCGTCTGCCGCCCACTCCACTACCCGCTGCTCATGCGGCCCCAGGTCTGCCTGGGCTTGGCCGCGTCCTCTTGGCTTGGGGGGCTGCTGGTCTCAGTGATCAAGACGTCGTGCATCGCCAGCCTGTCCTACTGCGGCCCCAATGTCCTCAACCACTTCTTCTGCGATGTCTCCCCTCTGCTCAACCTGTCCTGCACCCACGTGGCCCTGACGGAGCTGGTGGACTTCATCTCTGCCATCGTCATCCTCTGGGGCTCTCTCCTTGTGGCCATGGCCTCCTATGTGGCCATTGGTAGGGCCGTGCTCTGCATGCCTTCAGCCGCTGCCCGGCACAAAGCCTTCTCCACCTGCACCTCCCACCTGGTGGTGGTGGGTATCTTCTACTCAGCCACTCTCTTCATCTATGCCCGTCCCAACCGCATAGAGGCCATGGACTTCAACAAGGTGCTGTCTGTCATCTACACAGTAGTCACCCCCATGTGCAACCCCGTCATCTACTGCTTGCGGAATAAGGAGGTCCAGGCAGCATTCCACAGAAGCCTGCAGTGGTGCTGAAGCTGACCAGCTGACTAGGGCACAGGGGAGAGCTCAAGTTATCAGTACTTTACATTTTTTGTTGAGATATAATTCATATACCACACATTTCACCCTTTAAAAACGTTCAGTTCAGTGGTTTTTAGTACATTCAAGAAATTGTGCAACCATAATTTCAGAACATTTCCATCACCATCAAAAGAAACTCATGCACATCAGAAGTCACTGCCATCCCCTGCACCTCCCGGCCTTCAGAAACCATGGACCTGCTTCCTGTCTCTATGGATTTGCCTATTTTGGACACTTTGCATAAATGTAATCATATAATATGTGGCCTTTTGTGTGTCTTTCCCTTAGCATAAGTTTTTGAGGTTCATACATGTCATAGCATGTATCAGTAATTCATTCCATTTTATGGCTGAATAATATTCCATTGTATGGATAGACCGTGTGTTGTTGACCCTTTCATCAGTTGATGAATATCTGGGTTGTTTCCACTTTTTAGCTATTAAGAATAATGCTGCTGTAAACATTGTATACAACTTTTTGTGTGGCCATGTATTTTCATTTTTCTTAGGAATATGCCTAAGAATAGAATTGCTGGGCGGTATGATAACTCTATATTTAATGTTTTGAATAACTCTCAAACTTTTTTCCAAAGCATTCAATACCCTACTTTAAAAATATATATGTATGTCAGTGTAGGGAGGGCAGTTATAAATGGCAATTTATAGATGAGATATTGTAAACGATCAATGAGTCTAAGAAATATCCTTGGTACTCAGGGTAAATGCTGATTACAGTAAGTTACATCATCACTGTATCAGATCAAGAAAAATTCACATGATTATTAGAATCTATGGCCGAGGTAGCTTAGAAAGCTGGGCACTTTTCTTGTCATTTGCTGCTGGTGACATAAATTGTTAGAACCTTCTTGGAGAGCAACCTGGTATCATCTACTAAAATTTTCATTAAACCTACACTTTGACCTAGCGCCTCCACTTTAGTAAATATCTTATAGGGAAATTTAAACACTGGTTTATATATATAAGGATGTGTAAGGCGGCTTTGTTTTAAGTGACCTGAACTGGAAATAATGTGACTATTCACCAATAAGATAGTTACTAAGTCACGGTGTCTCCACATTGTGAAAACTTATGAAGCTACTTTTTAAAAGGGAAGTAGTTATAGCTCTCTATATTGATATGGAATCTTGATATATTTCTAAATGAAAAGGTAATATTTTTGTAAATTTGCATGCAGATACTCCAAGGCTCAGCTTCTGGGTTCTTTTTTTATGGAGTTTTCCCTAATTGCCCAGACTCCTGGGCACAATGCAAGGCCTCCCCTGTTCCCCTGCGGCTCACCCTTCACGCAGGGTGAGACGGGAACAGGAGCGCTGCAGTATGGGCCTCGCCAGTCCTGCCCAGCGCCAGGGCTCCGAACAATGCCTGGTGCACATTAGGGGCTCAGTAAATTTGGCTGAATAAATAAATGCGTAATTCCTTGAAGAAAGATAATGTCTTATTGGTCTCATATCTGCAGTGACTTATGGCTATAATATACCTACTACTAAGAACTTGCTGAATTCCAGACCCTGTGCAAAGCCCTTTATATAGATCATCACACCGTAAGCCTTATGACCACACTCTAAAGGAGGTACATGTGACAGAGATTGTTGTCATCTACCAACATCAATTCGTCCTTTAGTAATTGATCCACCAAATCTCTGCTGGAAACATAGCCACCCAGAAAAAGAAGCTGTTTTCCACCTTTTTTTGTTCATACATGGGATCTTATGAGTATGTGCTGGACAAAGGTCAGTGGCAAAGTTTCTGGTTATGCTTTTAAAAGGAAGGAGAGTTTCTTGTACTTCCTTTGTTCTCCTTCTCTTCTGCTAGGAATACAGACATGATGGCTGGAACGAGAGCAGCTGTGTTGGACCCCGACCTGGGAGCTACATCCCGAGAATGATGGCTGCCACAACAATCCCAAACCAATACTGCTACATCAATGAGAAATTAGAATCTATCCTGGTCAAGCCATGTGTGTGTGTTGTGGCTGACCCCATCATGTAACTAATATGATGTTGTATTAGTCAGCTATTGCTGAAATACTGCTATGTAACAAGCAATCCGTAAATAATTCCAGTGGCTTCAATAGCAAACTCTTTTTCTGGCTTGTGGATCTGTGGGTTGACTGGGGTTCTGTTTTAGGCTGTGGGTCAGGATTAAGTCTGTTCCACTTGTCTCTTATCCAAGAACTAGAATATGCTCTGTTCAAGGTAAACAGCAAGAAGGCAAGTGGAAATAGTGGCTTCTTATGGCTTCGGCTCAGAACTGGCACCCTCTCAATTTGGTCCATATTCCATTAGCCAGAGAAAATTATATGGCCAAACCAGAAGTCAGGGGATGCTCAACTTCTGCCTGTAGCATTCATTTTTTTCTTCAGAATAAAGTCCTAAAGTGGAAGTGGTGAGTACGAAGGTATTGGAATACTCAGTGCTTTTTGTATCTATTAACAAATTGCTTTTCTAAAATGTACCCATCCATACTCTCACAAACAACACCAGAATATGGTCATTGCTCTTGCGATATTGTCAAGATGAACTTTTGTTATTTAAAATAAAAATTCAAAATATGCTAGTGTGATGAGTCAGTCATTCCATAGAAGGTTATTTTTCTAATTTCCATTTTCTTTTGTAATGTGTTTATTTATTCAAATATATAATAAATATGGTTAATAACTGTTTGATACATATCCTCTCAGATTTCTTTCTAGTTATATATTAACAAAAATTTTCAACAGGTGTATTTATCATTGCTGTTTTACAAAACTTTGACACATTCACATACTCCTCCTTTCATTTTTAACTCAAACATACCATCTCCCCATGACAGTATCTACAGGTTTGGTTTAATCTCTTTAATGGTTGCATGTTATGTCGTAGTGTAGATATAACATATTATATTTAAATAATATCCCGTTGGTGGGCATTTGAGTTATTTCCAATAATTTCCAATAAAATAATGTTATTACAAATCTCACAATTTTGCAATAAACATTATTGTACATATATTTCACACATGTGTGTTTATATTACAAATATATTTTTTTCAGTAGGCATGGAGTAAATTGTTTTCAGTTTCCCTTGAAAAATTCAGTTTGCATTTCTCAGATTACTAGGAAAGCTGCACATTTTCTTGCAGGCCACCAGCCACTTGTATTTTTCCTTTCACCACCTTCCTACTCGGGAATGTTTTTCTTTTGAAGTATTCCTATTTTTCTCATTTATTAAAAGAAATCTTTATATATTATGGTGCAAATATTTTCCTCCAGGTTTCTATTTGCCTTCTAAGCTTGTGTCTATGTTTTTGGCCGTGAAAGTTTTAAAATCAGTACTGGGAAACATCAATTCTTGGTGGAGAGACTCAGCGTGGGTGGAGGGTTTTCCGCAGCACCGCGTGGACCTCCCTGTTCCGCAGGCAGTAGATGATGGGGCTGCACATGGGCGTGGCCACCGTGTAGATGACGGACAGCACCTTGTTGAGGTCCGTGGACTCGATGTGGCTGGGCTGGGAATACATGAAGAGGACCACTGAGTAGAAGATGCCCATCGCAATCAGGTGGGAGGCACAGGTGGAGAGGGCTTTGCAGCGGGCAGCGGCTGAAGGCATGCGGAGCACAGCACTCCCGATGGCCACATACGAGGCCAGAGCCACTAGTAACGACCCACAGAAGATGGCAATGGCAGAGATGAAGTCCACCAGCTCTGTCAGGGCCACGTGGGTGCAGGACAGGTTGAGCAGCGGGGAGACATCGCAGAAGAAATGGTTGAGGACATTGGGGCCGCAGTAGGACAGGCTGGCGATGCACGACGTCTTGATCACCGAGACCAGCAGCCCCCCAAGCCATGAGGATGTGGCCAAGCCCAGGCAGACCTGGGGCCGCATGAGCAGTGGGTAGTGGAGTGGGCGGCAGACGGCCACATAGCGGTCGTAGGCCATGGAGGCCAGGAGCGTGCACTTGGTGCAAATGAGGGAAATGAATAAAAACAGCTGCATTACACAGGCCGTGAAGGGCACATGGCATGGACTGGACCTCAGCCCCACGAGCAGGCTGGGCATGGTCACCGACACGTAGCACATCTCCAGGCAGCTCAGGTTGCCCAGGAAGAAGTACATGGGCTTGTGCAGCTCCGTGTGGCTGCAGGTGAGGTAGACGATGAGCATGTTCTCCAGGAGGGTCAGCAGGTAGAGCGTCAGGAAGACGGCAAACAGGCCGATCCTTATGTCTGGCCTGGTAGACAAACCCAGTAGGATGAATTCCTGGACTCTGGACATGTTGGCCAATCCCAGGGACCTCTCCATCTAAGTGAAGAAGGAAACAGGTTTGTAGAGGCCGCGGTCCACGCAGAAGTGAATCGGTGAAGGAGGAGGGGCAGAGCGTGTGCCTGGGGCCCCTGGTGTAGCCTTACTGCTGAGGACCGGGGCGGGGCGGCCGGAGCGCCACAGAACTAGGAAGCGGGGACTTGCACCTGAACGTTCCGGTGCCCCTGTGGTCTTCGGCGAGGACTCGACCGTCCGAGCCCCGGTTTCTTACCTGTACGGAGGAGGCGAGACCCTTCCCCACGGGCCCTTCATCCTTAAAGACATGAAGTGTGGCGACAGAAAGAGAAGGCGCTCCAGAAAGTGAAGGGTGACTGTTATTTCTGAATCTTTGGTGACTTTAAGTGTTCTTTTCTGAGTTGGGTTCTTTCCCTCCTCCTTTCTTGTTTTTGAAAAGTTTCCAGCACCCCAGGGGTTGTCTGAACTATTTTAAATAAAGTAAGAATCACAGTTCCCTTATTCTGAGACGTAGACCTCTTTTAACTAGCTGAATTTCTGGAGGAAATCTGCCACTGTTTATTAGAGAAACATGCTGGCAGGAATGGTTTTTCTGAAGAGACCAGTGAGAAATTTCCTCACCCACCCCTTCCAGAAAGACCTTTCTTTCAGGGAAGAATCTACATATGTGGATCATCACTTATGTGTCCCTGCACTGTGCTGTGGTTTTTGAGCGCACAGAGATTGATTAATTTTCATAACCCTACAAAAATAAGCATTATTTTACCCATGCATACACATGACTGTACTGAAGCTCAAGGTAGTAAGCAACTTGTACAAAAGGAAGGGGGTTAGAAGTAGGGGTGCTTGGCCTCTGCTATAATGCTGGGGAGCCGGCATGATTTTCAGGTGGCTGACAGGCAGACATTATGCTATTTGGACTTAGTCTGACAGCATTTATCACATGTGTTTGAGTATATTCCATGTACCAGGTGCCTGAAATCAAACAGTGAAGAACTCCAATCTCGGTGAGCTTTTGAAATTTATATTCTGGGTAGTGAGGGATCAAGAAAGCAAATGGAAGGACAAGTGTAGGATGAATCTTGGGGAAGGGCTGAGGAGAAAGCAGAGCAGCCTGGTGCCAGTGCGGGGGAGGCTTTTTGGAATGGGCAGGCAGAGGATCCTGTGGGGGGGAAGGGACATCTGAGTTTCGTTGTGCTAATGAGAAAGAACAAGATGAACAGGGGTCTTGTGGAGGAGCTTTCTAGGTGGGACAGGACAAACCAAGGGCAAACACCTTACACCAGGCAGGAGATCAACTTCTTCAAGGAAAATAAAAGCCAGTGTGGCTGAAGGAAAGTCCCCCCCGCACAAAGTCCCCTTCCCTGTGGGTCCACAGCATTCTGTCTCTGAGCAGTCTAGTCTCTAAGTCAAACATTCCCAGTGAAAATTTTCAGAGACAAAGAGTCAGAGGAATGGAATGGAACGAAGCCCAGGAACACACACAAATATAGACAAACTTGATTTGTGGCATAATTTGTATTGAAGATTCCTGGGGAAGAGGATGGACTTTTCAATGAATGTTTCCTGGATATCAGTCATCCACACAGGAAAATAAGAAGAAACTGAAATCATACATCACAGCACATGCACAAAAAGTCAATTTCAGGCGAACAAAAACCCATTATCTGGAAGTACGAATCTCTGAAACTTTAGAAAACAAAACTGTCAAATCACTGTGTTGTACTCCTGAAACCAACGTCATGTTGTACGTCAACTATACCCCAACAAAGGAAGACAAATGTGAAAAAAAAAGAAACAAAAAAAAGAAATAGAAATACATCTTCATGATCCTAGGGGTATGGGAAACAATGAGACTAAAGGAAAAGAACTTAGAACTAGATAAAATTCTAATCTATAAGATAAATTCTAATCATCACAAAAAATTAAAATAAAAGCCACAAACTGAAAAAACATACCTGCAATACCTCTGAGTGATGAGGGATCCCTATGTCAATGTACAAAGAAATTGGTCAACTAATACACAGAATAGTTTTTTTCAATGGGAAAAAGTTTGAATATATAACTCACGGAAGAACAGTTCATCACTCAAAACATGGAAACATGCTCATCTCATTAGGAAACAAGGACATGGACACTGAAACCAAAATTAGATACCATTTCACACCTGAGGAATTGGCACAAATGTAAATGTGAAAATAGTTAAGTTTAACAATGAGAACGTTCATACAGAGCTCCTGGGAGCCTGAATAGGTAGATAAACCACTTCAGAAAGCAATCTGGCGTTTATCTAGTAAATTTTAAGATGTACCACACCCCAGAAATTCTATATCCAAGCATATATCCAGATTATGTTCATAGCAGCACAGTGTTACCAACAAAAGAGAAAAAACATTGTGAACATCCCAAGTGCCCAGGGGCAGAATTGGTAAGTAATCGGTGAGCCCTGTGTCTATAAAGTGCTCCTTCTGTAAGTAAACGAGTGAATCAGAACCACATCCAGCATTGTGAGTGAGCCAATCTCAGAGACATACTACTGAGCAAAGACAGAAACGACATAGCGTGCAAGCTGTCATAATTTCATTTATATGAAAGTCACACTGTGTGGAATTAAGAAACATTGTTTAGGAATCAAAGTTATGTAGTAAAATAAAGTGGGAAAAGGATCAGCCTCAAATTCAAGGTGTTGTTTACTTCTTGGCAGGGGGGATGGAGGGGCCTTGAAGGTAAGCGGTTTTTCTTGAAGTGTCTAAGGAGCACAGGGCTGCACACCTTGTCACTGCGTCACCTACTTCCATCCTGCATGTATATTTTGTATCTGCTTACTACTTTATAAAAGCCACATCTGTAAACAGCATCTACATGTGTTGAAATTCATATAGCTGGACATCCAAAAAGTCCATTTTACAAATAAAATTTAAAAGTCACTTTCCTGGTGCCCATGTCTTTCCCCCTCCCTGGAGGTAACGACTGCTCTCAGTTTCCTGTGGGTCCTTCCAGAAAATCAACAGCATGATTCTGCCCTTATATATATATGTGCCCTCCCCCCTTTAAGAAATGGTCAAAGTCACACATCAGGTGTGAGTAGTAAGGTCCCTTTGAGCCCGAATACTATGCTCCTTCTCCCATTCTTTAATGCCTTCTCCCTTATTCGTTTCAGTAAAATTTCCCCCTTGAAAATGCTTAATTCTCAATATGATCAAATTAAGGGAAAATGATCATTCCCTTTAAGACCATTGCTTTTGGCAAAGGTAGATGAGATCTTTAAAATAGTTGCCTTTCAGTAACAGATGAAAACATATTGCATAACATGAAAGCAATATGTTACTTGTTACTATTGATGTTATTTTATAATTATAGGGATGCAGATTAGCCCTGGTAGGTAGATATGTTCTTGGCGGAAACTCCCACCTGGGTGTCTCGGCATGACACCTCATTTTTCAGATACAGTGACGCTCAAAGCTGGGGCTTGAAGTTCTTCTCAAGTCAGCTTCTGATCTGGGGGATTGGTGTGCTGAGCTCTGAACAGGCTGTCCTTGGTCCTGAACGAGGGCTGAGCGGGTGAGAAGGGCAGTCACGGTGCTGTCCTTGGTCCTGAAACGAATTCCTGCCACAGCCTCCTGCCGTGGACTCGGCTTCTCTGCTGGACCCCTGGTCCTGCCCCTGCCCTCCTTTCCCTTCTATCTACCCCTGTTCTTGACTTACCTTCTTCAGCTTCTTTAGGTTTTCTTGCCTCTCTGATAACTTCAGATGTCCAAGAATGTCCCAGATCAATCTGCTGCAGTCTAAGTGTATCTACAAAGGTGTCGCTAAAGATGTAAGTTTTATCATCTTTGGGGATGAGTTAAAGATTTTGAGCCCATTACTCAGACATCTGTGACACTTGATTTGCATCAAGGCCTGAGATGCGGTTATGGATGACTTAGGTTTTGCCTTTACAGAGAAATTTATGACCAGCAGCTTGCTAGGTGTGTGGCCATGAGTAAAGATTTTTAATCGCTCTAAGCCTGAGTTACCTGCTACTTAAGACAGTAACAGTATTTCCATCAGGAATAAGAAAGATACTACATGAAGATAGCTTTCATTTATTGCCTAAGAACCCAGCAATTTAGATGCAGTAGAATGTAATACAGTGGCTCTCAAGCATGTGTACCATGGCCCACGATAAGCAGTGCACTTCACTTTGTTACAATGACACACACACATGCAAACACCACATACACAAATAAAACAGTAAGTTAACACAGAACACTCACCCTTACTTTGTGTGAGCCCTTTTGATATTTCCTCTCATGTTCTCTGCCAGGTGATTTTTAATGCTAGTATTGACCTAATACAATTATTTTATGAACCTCAATTTAAAATATACTGTCATTCAGATTAAGAGTTGGGCTTTGGAATCAGACAGAGACTGGGTGTAGCCGGGGCTACATCTCTGCCAGACGGCGGGCTGACTTCCTGAGCCACAGGCTGCATCTCTGTCAGGGAGGAAGCAGGCCTGGCTTCGTCAGGTTGTCATGGGGATTAAATCCAAATAGTCTCTATGCCGTCCAGGTGGTGTCCGGCACCACTCAGGTGACCTACAGGAGGGAGGACTTTCCAGGTCTTCTTTTTTATTCTTTCCAAGTCAAATGATCTTGTTTGCTTACCTCTCAGCTAGAGTGAGATGGGACCCACTTTTTCTCCCTAAAGGAAACTCTGGGGCCCCAAAATGTTCAGCCTCTGCCCATGGGCATGAGTGAAGATGGCAGTGACTTGGAGAGTCGGCCCGTGAATCCAAGGACCTCAGAATGTCTGGAAGGAGTCTTCTCTGGTTCTGAGTAACGGGTCTCACCTGCCTCTCTTCATTCCTCCACGGCTGTGTTCTCTGAGTTGCCAAGAGAACTCTTCTTTTATAGCCAGCTGCAAGCAGAAGGGCCAGTTCAAATCCAAGTGCTGGACCTCAGAGGCTGTCCTAATCTCTGTGGACCTGGAGAAAAGCTTGACATGAAAACTTCTCATGAGAGTGTATTGGGGTTTGGGAGGGTGACTCAGACTGGTTCTGAGGCAGTTATGTAGGTTGGAGCCCCTAATAGGTGCCAGGATTTGTCTTGGAGACTGGGACGCAAAGCTGAATGAGATGTAATTCCTGGTCCCACATTGCTCCCAGAATACCGAGGGCTAATGACCCTCACACAGACATTTATAACATAATATATTAAGAGATAAGGAACCTGTGGGTTTTCAGAGGAGGGGAACCTGGGGATTTGGGAAGACTTATTCTAGGAGGGATATCTGAGCGGTGCCTCTCAGGAGCATTACAGGATCACCTCTACTAGATACAAGGCGAGGAACAGGTAGATAGAACATTCTTCCAGCTCATATAGGAATTAAAATATCCTTTTTCCACTGCCTGCTGGATATTTTAGGTCCCAAAGTCAGCATCCAACACCAAGCACTCTATGCATGCAACGCGTATTTTCCTCTCTGTGCCTCGGATTATCCACCTGTTAGGTCTTCTCTCCATTCCCGGAAGGCCCAGTGCAAATTCAGAGGGAGCACCACCAAATTAAATTTTATTCTTTTTCTTTCCCCTCTTTTGTGCAATCAAATAAAATAGATTTAAAAGTAACCCACCCACAACTCGCATAGTATTTTTTTCAGGAAGAGTAAAGCCATTAGTCTACAATACACTGCAGTCAATAAGCAATACAAAATATTTTTGAGCTAATGGTATTACTCACATCCTCTCCAGTATGTGCTCTGACAACAACCCCTTTCCATTTCTTAAGGGAACCAGTGTTAAAATACTTCTACATGCTCATGTGTGTACTTGCATGCCTTTTCTACACACACACACACACACACACACACAGTGCATTCTGCACATCTACACCTGTGTCGGTGCTTCTGTCCAGACTGTCCCTTCTCCTCTGAATGAAATGTGATCCGTGCCTCAAGCTCCATTCCACTCACAGGAGCTTTCCCCCACATCTTCCTTTTCCAGATGCCAAGAATTAGCCCTTCCACCACTCCAAGACAGCAGTGGGCTGGAGCAGAAATGGCGTGATCCCCAGCAGGTATCCAGAAATGTGACTGAAGGCTTGCTGAAGAAATGCCCTGGGGATTTGGAACCTGAGAACCTGGATTTGAATTCCTGATCTTTCCCTCAAAGTTTGTGTGGCTTTGGGCCCTCAGCGCCTCTGTGTCTCCATCTATAAAGCGGTACTGAGGACACTCACCTGGAAGAGCTGTTCTTAAGATTAAGCCAGTCAGTGCATGTCAAGTGCCTACCATGACTCCCAGCACCTATCAGGTGCTCAGCAGTATTGCTGTTGTCGGTACCTGTAAAATGGAGATCAGACACACTTCTCAGACATGATGTAAAAATTAAAATGGAGACATTCACAGGCCTAGCATAGGAACAGA